TATTTTTTTTAGTATTTTTATTATTGTTTTGTCAACATTTTTATATAATCTGTTTATATGTTGATAAATAAACACATTTATTAGTGCAAATATCTTTAATTGTTATTCAGCTGTAATAAAAACCCTTACACCAATCAGACATCTCTAAACTTAATATAGATTTGTGTGTAACTTGCCCCACATCGTCCTTCAGTTACTGTTTGTTGAGATAATTTCCAACAATAAAATGTGGACTTCACAGATAAACCTTCTCGTGAAAATCAGTTCCTGTTAGAAGTTATGACTTCCACACAACTTTGGATGGTGCACCTCTAATATCTAGAGTTGCCCAAATTCATTAAACTATCTCTGCTTCCCTCCATGACAGAAATAGGGAAGCTACAACCCCAAACCTTACAGAATGGGTCTGCTCCCAGACCACGTCAAAGAACCAAACCACAAATCGGCCATGAAGGATTCAACAATGAAAAATGAAATGAAGACTGAGATAAAGTTATAAAACATTTGAAATCCTTACTCTTAGTATTTCAGACCCTAACTGTCTGCTTGAACATTACACAGTATTTCCTGTTAATCTTTTTTTTTAGGTTAAAAGCAAAGACTAATTTTGTCTAAATAACTCAGACTGTCCTTCACATGTGTCAAACATCATTGCATCTTTATAATAATAGTTACCAACATTGTTAGTGGTAGTAAATTAAGTTTATTTTTGTCTACTACAACAGGTTTCTTTATGTCCACATGTAAGTTCTATTAAGTACAAACATGTTCTCAGACCCTATAAAGACATAAAAATCATGTATTCACACGTTGTTTGATTTATTATATTTATATTGTTTTTTTATTATCATTGGAAATTATTGGACAATTAGTTGTTTTACAATAAATTATTAGGCAGCTCTAATAGCTTTCATAGCAGGGTAAGATTTTACAGTTTTTCTCATGTGGTGTTGAATGGTCAAAGTATGAAAAGATGGCAGCAGTTACTCCTCATCTGTGTCTGAAATCGTCCTGGAACTGCAGTGTTCAATGCTTCTAAAGTTCTGTATTGAAAGCTTTGGTTGTGCTGGTTTTATTTTCTCTCAGAACCAGGAAACCTTCTAGCACACAAACCGAGTCACTGCGAGAAAGAGGAAGTGACTATTTTAGATGGACTAACTTGTCAAAGCTTATTCCGCCTGTCAAAGACACAGCTCCGATTAAACTGTGATGTACTTTGAGACATTAATCAAGTCTTTCATCCGCTGCAATAAAATAACAGATATCTTTTGTAGTGAACACTACTATAAAAGAAAACATTTGCACTTTCCATCTTTCTTAGTTCTGTCCCTGTTGAATTAAGGAAGCGGTTGCAATATACTTCTACTATATGTGTGCTAATATCTAGACATTTTTTTCCTACCTTCAGCCTCAGTGCAGGACAGCAACACAAGAATCACAAAGAAAAACATTCTAGAGTCTCGAGGTTTCTCTGAAACGCAACAACATGGAAGTGTTTTATACCACTGACAGCAAAACAGGGTCAGCCCCTCATACCCTTCTAACGATTGCGTTGTTCCTCTAGACTTGACACAGACCAACAGTGCACAAGTGAACTATCTTTGAGCTGTGCCAGTTGTCGATCTGACATAGCCATGGTTTCACAGCACACTGCCTTTGACTCCATGGCTACTAATGCTCAATTTTTACCAGAGTCAGTGGAGTAGTGCGGTGGTTAGAACACCCATCAGGCTCTATCTAAGCCTTGCATTGTCTACTGGATAAGTGACTTTTTAAGCAGAGGGCCCATCCAGACTACTTGTATTGGGGTACTGGTCCCACAAAACCGACAAACATTAAAATAGCACAAAAACACTATTAATCTGTATATTTTCTGCTCGGCAATCAAATTCAAAATTCAAATTTTATTTGTCACATACACAGTCATACACAGTACGATATGTAGTGAAATGCTTGGACAACTGCTCGTGACCTAAAGAAAACAAAAAGGAAAAGGCTATGAATAAGATAGGAAATAAATATGAAAAATTAAAAAGGGTAAATTTAACTAGGAAGGAATAAAATATAAATTAAGGTTAAAAATGAAATAACTGTACAACACACTGGGAAAGAATAAGATAAAATATATAAATTAAATTGAAAATAAAATAACTGTACAACAAAATACACAATATAGAACTATATAAGAATGTATGAACAAAATACCCAAGAAGTATAAATAAATATATACACAATAACAGCAGCAGTGATTTAAGTGATGAAGTGAAAACAATGTCCAGAATGTCCAGTGTGTGTGTGTGTAAGAACTATATGTGTGGGTCAGTACTGTGTGGTGGTGTGATTGTGATTGAGAGACCGTATCGCCTGCGGGAAGAAGCTCCTCCTCAGTCTCTCTGTGTTGGTCTTCAGGGAGCGGAATCGCTTTCCTGACCTCAACAGAGAGAACAGTCTGTTGTTGGGATGGCTGAGGTCCTTCACGATCTTCCTGGCCTTGGTCCAGCACCGCCTGCTGTAGATTGAGTGCAGGTCAGGGAGCTCGGAGCGGATGGTGCGCTCAGCTGATCGCACAACCCTCTGTAGAGCTCGTCTGTCCTGCATGGTGCTGTTCCCGAACCAGGTTAAGATGTTTCCCGCCAGGATGCTCTCTATGGTGCACGAGTAAAAGTTCCTGAGCACCTTGGAGGGCAGTTGGAAGTCTCTCAAGCGTCTGAGGTGGTAGAGACGCTGACGGGCCTTTTTCACCACGGTGTTGATGTGACAGGACCATGACAGGTCCTGCGTGATGTGAACTCCGAGGTATTTGAAGCTGTCCACTCTCTCCACTGGGCACTCGTTGATGACGGGGGTCTGGTAGTTCCTCTCCTGCTTAGTGCTGAAGTCCACTATCAGCTCCTTTGTCTTACTGACGTTTAGAAGGAGGTTGTTCCTGCCTTTGTAGCCTGCCTCCAAAGTCACCCTCTACCCTATGTGGGTGATATCAAAGAAGTCCATATTCCAAAGTCAAAAACCTGCTTAGCCTCCCAAATACTTTTTCCCTGAGATAAAAGCCTCAACAACATTTTTAACACCAGCAAAAAGCATTTTTATTCACAAATTAGGCATTTGGCGGAATTTGTTAATGGGTAATAAAAATGAAAATGTATTATTGTTATTGATCAGTGTCTTAACTTTCCCCATGAACTACAGAAAGGACAACAATATAAACATGATAAAAATTGTTTCAGGGTATCTGATTTTTTACGTTTAATATTGAAGTTTAATCTACTTTAATCAGCTGGAAAACTGCATTCGAGTGTGAGTTAATAAAGATGCTAAAAAGCATTGAAGTGTGGTCAGGTCCGCCATTTGTGCTACAAGCTGCATTTGCAGTGATACCAAATTCCTCTTTAGGCTGTAACACCCTTTAGGTTTTGCATGTTAAGCAAAAATGCTTGCACAAAAAAACAAAACAAAAAAAAAACAGACGTCTAATACAAGAAAAAGGAAGTTGCATCTTTTCACAGATTGAGAACAAGAAAGAGAAATAAAAGTAGCATAACAAGAGAGAAGTTTGCTTTTGCCATACTTCAGTTTGCACCCCAGTCTCGTAACCTATTCCAGTAGATCTGAATTTCAGCTGAATTCAGCTGTTAAAACAAAATTTACATGGTTTTGTGTTTTTTTCCCATATTTTTATTACAAAATAATGTTAAAAATATGACTGTCTTTCAACAAAAGCACTTGCAAAATGATTCTCTTAAAAGAATCTTTATGATATAATGACTGTAGTTCAATATGCAGACAGTATATAATAAAAATATAGTTTTAGTTCGCAGGTGTTTTCAGTCAAAGAATAGGATACAATTAAAGGTTTGCTCTTTGCATGTTTGCGATTTTTGTCTTAGTGTTCAGTTTGAGATAAACTGAACTGACAAAAAGAAGCATCAATAATTTCTGTAGGTTTTAACAGTTAATCATTCATCATTTCATCTAAAAGAAAAATGTTGAAGCCATGAAGTGTTTTTCACAGAGCTACAGGGCCACGCTCCGTCTCAAAGCTGTGTTGTTTAAGAACTTTGAAACTTGACAACAATTTTGTATGTGAATTTAAACATGAGACATGATTTTTTGGGACACTTGAAAAATTGTCAGCATATTGAATATGTAACTTGCTGCATTTGGAAAGATACCCAATTTTCATCTCAGATATATTTTTGAACCCTTTTTTCATTCTTAGGTTACTTTGAATGTTAAATGATGGTGTCAGTGTCTCATTAACATTTAGAATAATACAAAGAAGACACCAATCAAAGCAGAATCGGTAACTTCTAAAATATCAGAGATTGATAGGTTGGTCTTTGATGATTTTAAATGAGCTTTGAAGCTGAAATCATTTCTTTTTTTATTCTTGGGTTTACAACTTAGTAGTAGTTATCAGTTGATTCCCTCACACTGAAGAAACATCTTAATGCTGCTTTCTGGAATAGGAATCAGAAATGCTTCTTTTGTGTTTGCTATCATTATAAAATCTCAGAAAACAGCTTTATAAGGATCAACAAGTATTTTATTCACAAAATGATGCAGTCTTGACTTTTGACTATTTCATCAAAAATAATTGGTAACGCTATCATAGATGGTTTGAGGAGTTCTTTTCAAGCAAGTTTGCATTGACATCTATGTGCAGTGGGTAAGCACTGCAAAATTTATTTTTCTTTCTTAAATTTCTCTGCAGTGATGACAGTGATTTAACATGTTTGCCATGCATGTCTTGTGGAGCGTTTGTTATGTTTACATTCAACATTCAGAAAATTAACGGAATTAAATGTGCAAATGTCTATACTTACAAAACATTTGCAATGCCTAATTTTGTGCTATATAACAAAAAACGGTATCTGCATAAAAATTAGCAAACCCCCAAAATGTGTTAACCTGTGTAGTTATCTACCACTGGTATCTATAACTTCAACATTTTCTAAAAGTGTATTAGCTATGTGTGTACGTGGAAAGCCTCTTCTTTATTTTCACTTCTTAATCTTCTCCATAATGTGGACACTGATCACAGCAATCACCATGATGATCAGACCAACAGAGAACACGAATGTCTTCACCACACAGATGGAGATACCTGCAGACATGAGCAGAAATAATGAAACACACTAAGTAAATTCAAAGTACAGTTTCTTTCGTTTGACTCAAGAAATCTTTTACATTTCAGAAATACAGGTAATTTATTTCTGAATGTATCCCAACTGTATTTAGCATTCCAGAGTGTAAATGACCACGGCAGACCCGGGTGCACGTTCATGCTTTGCAGCATACTTTATTAATACTTTCACGGTTGCTGTACATTCGCACCCAGAGCTGCAGCTCTCCCGCTGCCAGCTCAACATAGCAACAACAACCCCAACCACAGGACCCAGTATAATATTTAAGTCGGCGGGGCGTAATTGCAGATGCCGTGCAGGTGCGTCCGCCTTCCCTGCATGGCACCGCAGGCCACGCCCCGCCACACAGAGAAAAAGCGAGCCTTTATTGTGACTAAATTAGATTCCAAAAAATATTCAAAACCAAAAGGCAGCATCACTAGGACATTCACAGGACTGACAGCAAACAACACGGAGTGCAGCAAGTGACACCATGACAGAGGACACATTGAGGACTGAAGTGTATCTACAGTTAGGTCCATATATATTTGGACACTGACACATTTTTTTTTACATGTTTACTGAAACATATTCCAATTGTAGTTATATGATGGACATGGACATAATTTGTAGACTCAGCTTGCATGAAGGGTTTAGGAGTTTTAGCTCCTTAACATGTCCCACACTCTTTTTAAAGAGACCAAACATAATTGGACAATTGACTCGAAGGCTATTTCATGGACAGGTGTGAGCAATTCCTTCGTATATCAATTAAGCAGATAAAAGGCCTGGAGCTGATCTAAGGTGTGGTGCTTGTGTTTGGAACATTTTGCTGTCAACAGACAACATGCAGTCAAAGGAGCTCTCCATGCAGGTGAAACAACATCCTTAAGCTGCAAAAACAGAACAATCCATTTTGAGAAAATACTACAATATTAGGAGGAGTGGCAAAATCAACAATTTGGTTCATCCTGAGAAATAACGAAAGAAAGCACTAGTCAACTCAGCAATACAAAACAACCTGGATGTCCACGGAAGACAACAGTGGTGGCTAATCACAGAATCGTTTTTACAGCCAACAAAGTGAACAACAAACTCCAGGAGGTAGAAGTATCTAGGTCTACCATAAAGAGAAGAAAGGCCCACAAACAAACAGCAACTGAAAGCCTCTGCAGTAAAAACCTGGCAGAGCAACAAAAGGAGAAAACCCAGCATCTGGTGATGTCCATGAGTTGAAGACTTCATGGTGTCACTGCCAGCAAAGTATTAGAAATGAACATTTTCTTTTCAGTTATTTTTCAATTCATTGTGAGGAACTAAAAAAAATTTAGTTCCTCACAATGAATTTCTATTGTTACAACGCTGTTACCGTTACTAACAAGAAAATGCGGTCACGTTACTATTTTTCAACAAACAGACGGTTGAAGCTTCATTCATCTTACCGCACGTAATATCAGTTGCATGGAAGTAGCTGACTACATAAGTAATCTGGGCGCTACAGCTTTAAGCAGCTGCGCGTGCTCCCACGGACGGCAATCACTTTCTGCCCAACGATCAATTTTTGCCACAACACCTGGAGCTAGGGGGCAAAACAATCGCATGATTGCTGCTGTTTGACTGAGGAAGAATAAAGTAGTCGTGGTAAGCCAATCACATGACCACTTTAAGATGACAAAGCAACAAGGTGATATTTGCCAGTTTTTAAATTGTGTTGATAGGCCACGTAAAACCAGAGTCATGATAAACAATATATACACGTGTTTTTTCCTGAATAGTTTCGTCACGTTTACTGTCTAAGGACAGCGCTAGCGAGCATTCTCTGCTTATGAGCAAAAAATAAAAAAACTAAAAACAGCCCTTTCGTGTTGGTGGAAAAATGTACAATGTTGACCAATGAAAAAGTGCTATGGCAACATGACATTTGGTTGTTTAGAAAGAGGAGGAAGTTTTAGGAGTGATGGAGAGAGAGAGAGTTTGGAGATGTGAGAGATTTTAGTTTAGCGTGTTTGGAGTGTGTAGTTAAAATGCTGTTTTGTGTAGTTAGAGTGTTGTGTTGTGGATAGTTTGGTGTTGTGTGTCAGAACAATGAGGTGACAATTCAAGTATTTGGACTGGATTGTGGGTGCTTTCTATCACAATCCAAAGATATGTAATTAGACATGGGGACAACATGCAAACATCACACAGCAAGTCCTTTAAAAATCTGGTTATTTCAGTTTTTCATTCATTATTATGAACTTTATTCTCACCTGTCTCTGTTTCACAGTAAGATTTGAGCACCTTCATGGTCTGATTCCAGCTCACTTGGTTGCTGTGATTACAGTAAATGGTGTCTTGCTGCAGGTAAACACTTAAAGAGGAAAATTCTTTTGTGGCTTTCAAATCCTTTTCTTCTGCATGAGAGCAGATTTTACCATCACATCTGAAACTACTGCTGATGTTAAAGTCCACTGTGCTGCAGGTCACAGTCAGGTTACAGGAGTCTGAGCTTTTGGACACTGACTCTACTGTCAGTTTGGCAGCAGTCACTGGATCTGGGGAACAAGAGGTGTGAAAGTATTAAAAATAGGCCTATGATTTGTGAACATTTCAAAGTAATAATGAAAATAGAAACCTACCTTGAACTATGACCTTGTATTCAGCTACCCTTTGCTCTTGTTCGCTGACCACAACTGCTTTATAATCTCCACTGTCACTGTGTTGAACATTCTTTAATTTCAAAGAGTAATTTTGTCCAAACACCTCAGCCTTTCCTGCATATTTGATATACACGACTGGATCTTTATTAAAAACACATTTAGCTATATTGTTACTGGAATTAAATCTCCAGAACAAATCTGTCTGTTCCTCAAGTTTAAAAGGTTTCTCTGTATCCAAGTGTAAGTCGTTTCCATGCAGCACAAACACATGTTGGAGACCTAAAAGAAAAGGAAAAACAAAAAATATCAGTCACGAACATCCAGCTGCAATTATGTTAAATCAAAATCAAACACAAATGCAACACAAAAAGGACCTGACACAGCGTTGCAGTGTTGTGAAGATTTTGGTTCTTTTGTTATATTTTTTTCACCGCAGCTTTTCACCTGCCTTCTGCTGCTCTGCACACCTTTGGTCAGGTCCTGGTAGCCTACTCACACAGGGGGAGGGATGAGTTTGTGATGGACACCATCTTTGTTGGTCAACCTCCCCTGACACCACCTGCTGCTCTTCCCTATTGTTTGATTATTTTCATTATTGTTTAGTCACAGCTAACTGCTTGGGTTTTTAGCATCCACCAAACAATAATCAGTTTCACATTTCAGATAAAGCTGTTGTGGAAAACCTGAACTTGTTATGAGATACAGCTTCCATCTCACTTCGGACAGCCCACCTCTCATATCTTGAGATATGACCAAATATATCAAGTCTTATTACCAGTTTTGGGTAAGTTACTTTAAATTAGTAACTTAGTTACATTACTAGTTACTTCTATCAAAAGTAACTCAGTTATTTCAAGTTACTCGTTACTTTCAAAGTAACTAGTTACTAGGGAAGGTAATTTTGGTTATTCTCAGAATTCTCTTGTTAATGTGTTGCTTCCGTAACTGGATACCCAGCAAGACTGCCAGTCTTCTAGCTTGCTTACTTGCCACAAGTGCACTGTGCCACCTACCAATAGAAAGGAAAAAATAATGTGCTTATTTCCACGAGAGAAATCCCATGCCTGGACCATCGCCATGATTCTAGCCTACGTCACAGCATCATGTGCGCTTTTTACATCCAACACGAAAACTGCAGTCGTGGTGCTTTCGATTGTACTCAGAACTTGGAAATTCTGCCTTCCAAATAGAAAGATGTAAGCAACACTAGACTGAAGGTGAGCTGCATACAGGGCTGGACTGGGACAAAAAATTGGCCTGGGCATTTTGACTAGAGACCAGCCCACCATTATAGGAAAAATCATACAGTCTTTGAATGAAAACAAACGCTGTTGTGACAGTGATGTACACTGTTTTGATTGTATATATGCATCAATCTATCAATCGTTTCTTGTAAGATTCAGATAATTATTTAATAAAAGCTAGATATTTTAAATGAGAATAAGAAAGAAAAGTATTTCTTTGTTCCCTGTTAATGCCCTACCAGCCCCCCTGGCAAAACTGGGGGTTTACAAGTACAAGTAACGCGTTACTGCCCATCTCTGGTCCCTACACTGCTTATTACTAAATTAACAGCTGTGAAAGAGTTCCAGCAATCTTTCATTCTAGTTTATACGTCAACCAAAGGTCAGGACAGTTAGGATTACTTTGAAAGTTGCATTCTTGGCCTCCCACACATTTAAAAAAACATATTTGTCATTTTTTTGTCCACCCCCACCTTTCAACTTTCTGATTCTCTGATTTAGTGCTCAGTGAGATAAAATTATTATAGTGGGTAACTGTTTTTTTCATTAGTGTTGATGTTGTAAGTGTTGTCACCAAATTTAACCAAAAATCATCAATGAAGGAATCAACCATGAAAAATTAAAAGAAGACTGAGATAAAGTTATACAACATTTGAAAGCCTTAATGTTAGACCCAAACTGTCTGTTTCCAGTCTGCAACTCCTCCTATCCTTCACCACTGTCAAACACTATTGCATCTTGATAATAACTGTTTTTTGGTAGTAAATTAAGTTTCTATTTCACTACTACAACAGATGGCGGATGAAGTCTGTTCCATGAAGTACAAGCACATTTTCAGACCCTATAAAGACCTAAAGAGACACGTAAGACGTAAAGTCTTCTACTCACACCTGATTTGTTTTAATTATTTTTATAGTGTTTGTTTTTATCATGATTGGAAATTAATGGGGAATTTGTTGCTTTACAATGAATTATTAAACAGCTCTAATACCTCTTTTATAGCAGGGTAAGATTTTACACAGTTCAGTGTTTTTAAGAGGTCAAAATATGAAAAGTTGTTAGCAGTTGCTCCTCATCTGTGCCTGAAATCAGCCTTAAACTGCGATGTTGTTTTGAACTTTTCAGATAAATGTATCTTATACTCTTTGCTTGAAATAGCAAACATATAACTCATATAACAGGACAGTGCTTAATAATTCTCAAAATTCTCCATTTAAACTACTTCTCTTTTATCAATTCAATAGCACATCTTCACCCAGGACAGAGAACTATTTTGAAAAACATTATCTGAGACACAGTGACATTTCTTCCATAATGTTTTCTTCCTCCCCTCTCACCTAAAACAAAATTGGCCTGTTAGGACACACTGGTTTACCAGGGTACATAAGCTCATTGGATGTCCTTTCGATGTGTTGGTTTTATTTTCTTTCAGAACCAGGAAGCAGAGTGACTGCAAGAAAGAGGAAGTGACTATTTTTAGATGGACTAACTTGTCAGAGCTTATTCAGCCTGTCAAAGACACAGCTCTGATTAAACTCTTGACTAATGTAGTTTGAGACATTAATCAAGTCTTTTACCTTCTGCAATAAATTGAAAGATACGTTTTGTAGTGAACACGTTCATCGTTGTCAGTTCTGTCCCTGTTGAATTAAAGAAGCAGTTGTTATATACTGCTACTATATGTGTGCTAATATTTAGACATTTTTTTCCTACCTTCAGCCTCAGTGCAGGACAGCAACACAAGAATCACAAAGAAAAACATTCTAGAGTCTCGAGGTTTCTCTGAAATGTAACAACGTGGAAGTGTTTTACACCACTGACAGCAGAACAGGGTCAGCCCCTTCTCACAGCTGCATTCTTCCTCTATACAGACCAACAGTGCAAAAGTGAACTATCTGTGAGCTGTGCTAGTTTTAGCTAGCCATGAGATAGCCATGGTTTCACAGTAACACTACCTTTGAGCAGAAAGAGACAACAAAACAGAAGCCATGACTCAGTCTGACCCGTATCAGCCTGCACGAACAAACTTTTATTATTCTTCCTGCAGATTTTTGGGGTAATGTGTGAGAGTTGGTGAGCTAAGGTGCGAGTCCCGTGCACTGCAAGTCACGATGAGATTACAGGAGTTTTAAAGACAGAGTCCAATCAGGCCGATCAAAGCAGAAGAGGTAATATGATGATCTGAATGCATTTAAGCTGCAGGAATTGACTTCATGAAATATCAGATATCTGTGGGTTTTTGATTGATAATGTAAAATTCTGGATTGAGTTCTTGCTGGAATTGTCCTATACAGTAGTTATGAATGTCACCAAAATCCCCCCAACCAAACATAAATGAGAAACGTTTATATGAGTGCTGAGTATTTGTATATGTGTGCATGAGGGTGGGAATGCCTGTTTGTCTGTGTTTATATGTCAGGTCGGGTCTTACACTCCACCTCTCTGGGAACTCCCAGGCCCTCCAAAGGCCTATCTCCCCTCACCACACTCCCTGCCGGTGACTGATGCCCTCAGGGGTCGGTGCGTTGGTGGTTCTTGGTGTCCGGGGCTGGGCGCTCAGGTATGTACTAGCTCACTCCCGGTGACTACTTGCCTGGTGCCCGTTGCTCGGTCAGGCCTCTTCCGGGGCAAAGGGGGCCCTCGGGCCTCCGGCCTCTGGGCCTGCGGCTCGCTTCACTCTGGCACGCCACTGCAACCCCCTCAGGCTTCTGCTTCATGGCAACTGGGTGACCCCTCATCTGGGGCTCTCCTCAGCTCTTCCCAGGAGGGTGGCACGGATGCCCCTCCGGTGGTCCTCCTTGGGCTCTCGCACTCTGGGGCCTCTGGATGTCTGGAGCCTGGATCTCCTCCATGCCTGCTTCATGCCCTGGGGGATGGGGCTATGGCTCTCTACATCCTCTAGCAGACCATTACATGGGGAAACCTTTTGAATACAAGCGCGCTGATCCACACAGGTGTGCACACGGGTGTTCACTGTTCATAGACATAAACTACACCTCTATTGACTGCTATTTCCAAGCACATTGTGGGCTGTCGGTCCTGCTTGCTACACAATAATATTCAATATTTAGTATTTACTGCTGTGTACACTTAGCTACAGTGGGGCAAAAAAGTATTTAGTCAGCCACCGATTGTGCAAGTTCCCCCACTTAAAATGATGACAGAGGTCAGTAATTTGCACCAGAGGTACACTTCAACTGTGAGAGACAGAATGTGAAAAAAAAATCCATGAATCCACATGGTAGGATTTGTAAAGAATTTATTCGTAAATCAGGGTGGAAAATAAGTATTTGGTCACCTCAAACATGGAAAATCTCTGGCCCTCACAGACCTGTAACGTCTTCTGTAAGAAGCTTTTCTGTCCCCCACTCGTTACCTGTATGAATGGCACCTGTTTGAACTCATCATCTGTATAAAAGACACCTGTCCACAGCCTCAAACAGTCAGACTCCAAACTCCGCCATGGCCAAGACCAAAGAGCTTTCGAAGGACACCAGGAAAAGTATTGTAGACCTGCACCAGACTGGGAAGAGTGAATCTACAATAGGCAAGCAGCTTGGTGTGAAAAAATCAACTGTGGGAGCAATCATCAGAAAATGGAAGACATACAAGACCACTGATAATCTCCCTCGATCTGGGGCTCCACGCAAGATCTCATCCCGTGGGGTCAAAATGATCATGAGAACGGTGAGCAAAGATCCCAGAACCACACGGGGGGACCTGGTGAATGACCTGCAGAGAGCTGGGACCAAAGTAACAAAGGTCACCATCAGTAACACACTACAACGGTAGGGAATCAAATCCCGCAGTGCCAGACGTGTTCCGCTGCTGAAGCCAGTGCATGTCCAGGCCCGTCTGAAGTTTGCCAGAGAGCACATGGATGATACAGCAGAGGATTGGGAGAATGTCATGTGGTCAGATGAAACCAAAGTAGAACTTTTTGGTATAAACTCAACTCGTCGTGTTTGGAGGACGAAGAATACTGAGTTGCATCCCAAGAACACCATACCTACTGTGAAGCATGGGGGTGGAAACATCATGCTATGGGGCTGTTTTTCTGCCAAGGAGACAGGACGACTGATCCGTGTTAAGGACAGAATGATTGGGGCCATGTATCGTGAGATTTTGAGCCAAAACCTCCTTCCATCAGTGAGAACTTTGAAGATGAAACGAGGCTGGGTCTTCCAACATGACAATGATCCAAAACACACCGCCCGGGCAACAAAGGAGTGGCTCCGTAAGAAGCATTTGAAAGTCCTGGAGTGGCCTAGCCAGTCTCCAGACCT